GTCTCATGGGATTGGAAGCCAAATTAACAATCTCAAACATCTACCCGATATATTGGTTTCAGTCATTAGATATATGGGTTCCAATCATTGAAGAGTATCTCAATAGAATATAAAAAATAAAAAATATTTAACAGTGAATAATTGATGAACTTTTATATGTCATTTTTCTAAGTGTGCTGTATGATTAGTTTGTGTTGAATATATATAATGTTAGTGGGCAATATTATGCAGAATCTATGTGATAGAATTATACAAACTTATAAAACTATTTTATCTTAAAGTTAAAAAATAAGTAGTAGTCATTTAAATTTATTATGAGTTATGCTAGCTTATAACACCCTCCCCCTTGCTAAAAAGACTAGATTTTGTGACAAAAATATTTAATTGAAATTTAATCATGAATGTCATACATTTTAAACCTTAATTGAGAATTTCATACATTAAAGAAAGAAAATAAATGAAATTAATGGTGAATAGGATTTGGAAACATTCAAAACTGGCAAATGTATAAGAACAAATTAGTAATCCTTTAACAAATTATAGTCATTTTAGTATTTGTCCAGAAAAATTATACTGTTTTGATGCTAGCATGTCCTTTTATACCAAAGAATGGATAGATTTCAACAGCAGTGGACTGAAAATTAGTTTAGAAATGGCTATCATACAGTTAGTGCTCATTACTTGCACTCGTTATGTTCTCCCTAGTTGCCACAAATACTGAATTAGCAAATATGGAATGTTCGCTCCTGGGAAAAGTTCAGTTACATTGCTATGAACCTCTGGTTATACCATTTCCATCTATCAGTCAGTGCATAACCTTGCTTTATTTGTGCTTTTGTTCAGACATGTTATTAATATTTATTATGTATTCATTATCCATTCTGAGCAATGAAACCACCACCAACATTTCTTACCAGTTTGCTTATGTCTGCAAATGGTTGAGCAAGTGATATTAGTATTTACTTTGCTGTACAAGTTTTAGTAAGTATATAAATTTGTAGGTGCAGAATCTGCAAATAGTCACCATAAACTGTATTTTAAAGTATGTTCCTGGGCCTCCCTGGTGGTGCAGCGGTTGACTGCTGGGCTGCAAAGCTGCCCGCAGCTTCTGCAATGCCAGTTCAATCCCAGCTGCCGGCAAGGGTCCCATATGGCGCTCAGACCTCTCCTGCTGTGCCTGCTGCTCCCCTTAGCAGTGTACTTCATCAGTCTGCCTGTTCTGCTCCCCTCTCTGGCACTGGTGAATTCTCTCACCCTCCCACACTTCTGACTGTACCCAGTGCTTGTATAAATAAATAAATAAATCTTAAAAAAAATAATAAAGTATGTTGCTACTTGCATATATGGTTTAACCACACAGGATACCCCTAAGATCCTTTCTCAGAATTAAAAATTTGTGTTATTCTATATTCATGGACCTTAGAAAATGTAGATTCTAGAAAAAAGTATATTATTATGCACAGTGCATCGCAGTGATCACATGGCAAAAGTTTGGATACACAGATTTTTAAAAGCACCAGAATTCACTGCAATGTACTTTATTTCTTTACCCACAGATTGATGCAATGAACTTTTAAAGCTACTAAAATTTTTACTGAGACATTATTATAAATGTTTAGAATATAAATGAAATTTTGGATGAATACTGCCACACTATCAGACAATATAACAAGAAATCGTTCCTTTACAGTTATAATAAAAATAATTTTTAAAAACTTTAGAAATAAAATTACCAGGAAAACTACAAGAATGATATAAAGCAAATGAAGACATAACTTTGAAAGATAGTCCTTCTCTGAGCCATCATGCCATCAGGTTATTGCATTTAGATAGAAATTCCACATCCTAAAATTAATGTGGAAAAATAAATGTAAAACAACCCAGTAAATAATTTAAAATAGCAATTACAGAGTACTTACTTTACCTATTCTTAACACAAATTATAAAACTAACAATTAAAAACATCATGATACTAGAATATAGTAAGCAGGTTTAACTGTCCATTATAGAAATACATAATAAATTTCTAATATTTCTGGATTGCTTTTTCATTTCTTCATGCATACATGATTCAAAAATAAAAGTGTTACATCATTGCTGAAGCTTAAGAATAAGATCACAAAGCAGTTTGTGTTTTATGTTGCCATTCTTCTGTGGTGAAATTGGATTCCTTCCTTGTTATTAAGTAACTTTGTGACCCACAGGTCTTTTGTGGACATTTGGAATAGGTACAATAGGTGTGTTAGAAAGGTGGGACTGTTTCATTTCTTTTTTTTAATTATAAATTGTCAATACTTATAGTATCAGCTTCCATTCTAGGTTCTAGAGCTGTAATAATAAATAAGTCACAGCCCCTTGCCTAAATAAATGCACAGGTTATTAATAAGACTTCAGCTATACAGGTGACTATTATTCAATACAGGAAGTGTTATATTAGCTGTATGAGGTTAGAAGTAAGAGTTTCTTCTCCTGAAAGTTGGCACTGTAAGAAGCAGTGCTCACAGGCAAAGGCACTAGGTGTTCCTCAAAGCCTTTGAAAACTAAGAAAAATTTTCCCAGAAAGAAAAGGAAAACAGAAATCACTCAAAAGTAAGGAGAAAATACTTTTGAATGCACTCAAGCATGGAAAACACTAAGTATGCAAAGGACTCTCATTACCCATGGAAACAAGGGTGTAGGATGTCTCAAGGAGGACAGCAGAAATAACTAGAAAAGTCGGCTGGGACAAATTGTGAAGACTTTTCAATCTTGCTGATGAATATGGCTATTATTTTCTAAGTATCAACAAGCCATCAAAATGTTTTCAAAAGAAAAAAAAAATTTCGCAAGAGGGGCATATCAAATACAGATGCAAGATTCATTTAGAAGGAATTGTAGAAGGAACATAGCTTAATACCTGGTTTCATCTTCTGGGTACTAAAACTTGTACTAGTGAGGCAGAGTCTCCCTTCCCACTACTTACATATCGGACAGTGCTTTGTGACTCAACACAAAATTATAGGGGTGGTAGTGACTGAAAGCATTCTTATGAACAGAGCTTCTCACTACTAGATGCACAATGGAGTCAGGAGAGGACTTTTGGCGATAACTGGCAGCTGGGTGTCCCTCCGGTTGATTTGGATTTAACTAGTCTGGGATTTAAATTGAGATTTGAAAAGTTGTCACAGCTTGCCAGTGATTCGAATATACATTCAAGTTTGAGAACTAGTGCACTATAACAAGAAGCTGTTGTTTCTGCAATTCTAGAAGTCATTTAATTTGAAGTTTTTTCTTTACTCCAAAATGTCCTTATTAACTTTATGGTATATCCTATAACCATCCTTTTATTAGAAAAGAGAAGATGTAGTATGTGAAATAAATAACTTGTCGTAACTACTGATAATCCTTAACCAGTGTGACAAGTTTGATTTTTGTTTCTTTGCTTGTTATTCTGGTCTGCATCCTCTTCCCACACTGAAATGGATGCCATACTGTTTTGTTTTGGGGTACCTACCTCTTGTTTTAGGTCACTTATTTCTATATACTTGCTCCATATGTAGTCCCCTACTTAAAAAAAAAACATTTATTTATTTATGATTACAAGAACTGGGGTACAGGCTAGAGGTATGGGAGGTGAGAGGATTCACCAGAGACAGAGTGGGGAACAGAACAGGCAGATAGACCAAAATACACTGCTGAGGGGAGCGGCGGGCCAGTCAGGAGAGGTTTGCCGCACCATGTGGTGTTATCCTAAATTCTCATTTATATAGTCAGTGACAAACTCTAATCAATAATCATATTCATAAAGAAGATCCTAAATTGGGAGCCTCCCCTGGAGGTGCAGGTGGTTGAGCACAGCGCTGTAAAGCTGTCCACAGCCTCTGCAGCACTGGTTCAATCCTGGCCAGCTGGTAAGAATCCCACATGGTGTGTCAGACCTCTCCTGTCTCGCCTGCTGCTCCCCTCAGCAGTGTATTTCATTCAGTCTGCCGGTTCTGTTCCCCACTCTGTCTCTGGTGAATCCTCTCCTCCTCTCGTACATCTGGCCTGTACCCTGGTTCTTATATGCATGAATAAATAAATCTTAAAAAAAAGATCCAAATAAATTGGGGGGAAAATCATAGGTATTTTAGTTAATGACAACTTCTACATAACTGTGGGAAAGATTGCATTAGGTTATAATTCTGGAAATGGCTGTTGAGTTCAAAGAAGACATTGATTCTGTTGATGCTAGATTATTTACTATTGTCAACCCAATGCTCTGAGAATGATGCTGACAAATTAAAACGTGTTCCAAAAATGGCAACCGACACAGACACCATGTGGTTTGGGGAATTGTTCAATTGCTCCTTAAAAGACAGATGAAGACCAAAGTATAGAACAGAGTAGGATTCATAGGGTAGCTTTCTAGACCTCGCTTTGACACTGTCATCCCATGTCCTTACATAAGTCAGTTCTCCTTTGGCCCCCGTCACTCTCCTGTACTGAGAAGGGAAAGTCAGACTCTACATGCTTTTCCAGCTCTGTTGTTCAAGAATTAAAAACTTTCATTATTTTGTGTGAATGTGAGAACTGCGAGAACTGCCTTCAAATAACTGATCATGTAAAAAAAAAAAACAATTTAATAAGTTTTATTTTAGAGGGTAGAATTAATCCAGCAGATGGGATTTAAAGATGGAGAACTTCAGTTCAATATAAGGGATACCTTTTTAACCACATTAATGAAATACAAAATGTCTTATAGTGTAAAGTAGCGGTGGTGCTTTTGTCATGGTCAAGAATATCGAGAAGGGAAGTTATTCTTCAGCTTAGAGAGTAAATTTAGTAACACAACTATAAAATACTCTATTTTTCCTAGCTCAGTTAGTCCCAAAGCATGACCTCAAGCCTAGTGCTCCTGCAAGCTTATGTGCCAGTATATTGAGTTGAATAAATGATCTCACTGTATACAGTAAAGCAAGGAGGGAGGGAAGCATGGAGCATCAGAACTTCCTCTCTTTGATTCACTATATTACATTCAGCAGGTTCAAGGTCAATTGCCGCCATTAATGATTCCCGTGTTTCCTCCTGACCAACGGACGTTGGCTGCAGCTGCCCAGCAAGGATTCCTCCTTCCTCCAGGCTTCAGCTATAAGGCTGGATGTAGTAAGTATCATTGCTTTTTCATTTGGGAATTAGTGGAGGGCATGGCTTTAAGTTAGGGCAATTTCATATTACTGCCACACAAAGACATGAGCTCACCCATAGAGCACTTTTATTTTAAAGAGGAAATACACAGAAGGTGCAGAAAAGGTTTTGTATTAGTATTTAAAAGTGCCTAGGTTATTTCTATGCATCTAAAGCCAATATTTGCTGTTTATAAGTCAGTTACATAACTTCTATTTCAGTGTATTTTAAAAATATGAATACAATATTGACATGCATGTTTTTGCATAGAGAAGATGGATGCATGCTTTTCAATAACTTTCCATTGCTCTTTAAGATAAACCCAAAGTCCCCTCCCTATGTTAGCAGCCTAATTTCTCACTCATATTCTTTCGTGCGTGGATCACACCTTGTTCTTTCTTGATTCTGGACTTGCTTGGTCAGTGCTTGCTCTACTTGGCACTATGAAACTCCTCCCGCAGCTGAGATCAGGGACAGCTAGCCTGACCTACTTTCCCTGTTTCTTGCTCCCTTTGGATCTTCTATATTTTTCTCTTTCATTTCAGTTGTAAGCCCTATGAGGGCAGATTCCGACTTTGTCTCGTTCATAATTGTATCTAAATTTTCAGTACAGCTGTTTATTGAGTGAATGAATAAACAGTCGCTCATTGTCAACAGTACAAGGCTGTCTTTTGCATTGGGTGATAAGTTACGTCATTATAGCATCAATATCACATATTAACTTAAAGTCCCATGATTTGTGACTTTCACTTTTACCCAAGTTGAAATTGTACATTGTGACTTTTGGAAGCAGTCTGTTTCTTCATTTTGTAATACCTAAATAGCCATAATCTGTTAGATTCTATTAGATAAAAACAGTAACTCAAATTTCAAAGAGGGACTAGACTGCTATGCTGAATACCTTCTTAAACCTCATTACAACAGCCAGAAAGAATATAGAAAAAATAAGTCTCTTGAAATATTTTCATTGATAAAAGTAGAACACCACTGAAAAAATAGCAAAATATTATCATTTTGGATATTCATATAGAATGTTATTTTGTAAATTTCAATGGATTTTTGTTCATTTATATGCTAATAAACTGTCCATTAGCATCCTGCTATGCAGTACCTACTGCATGTAAGGAGCTATATCCAATATTGTGAGAAATCAGTTTTCAGTTTCCTCTTAAAGGATGTTTTGAAATTTTACATTTATTTCTAGTCTTTGAACCTTCCTCTATATAATATTGAAGAAATTCGAATTTTAAAAAAAAATACGAAGCCTTTGAAATGAGTAGATTGAAACTATAGAGCCCAGATAAAAGTGAGCTGATCTCAGGACTATAAAAATTCTACTTGTATGGCACAAGTTTTTTTTTTTTTTTTCTTTTTTTAGTTTTACACTATTTTTGCTCCTCTTTATCTTAACTTTGGTTTCTTATGTTTTAAAATTATCTTCTCACTTTGGATCCATAGTTAATTTAATATTAGTTACTCTATCATCTTGTCTTTTTTGGTTGATTCCCATAGCACCAAATTTAAAAATTACTATTAGGAATATATAGAATAAATACTTTAAATTCTAAAAATAAAATTTTAAGTTGCATTTTAAGAGTTACCTCTTTTTAATGGTAAAGACATTTTTGTTTCATTTACATTTTCCTGAAGAATTACTATTCAGATGTAACCTTAGATACTAAAGTGAAAAAGGAAAGAAAAAATAGCATCAGTTGTCTCAGACTGTACCTGCAATATATACATATAGACTAGTTTTTTTTCCTAAAAAGAAATATTTTAAGCAACTGTAGAAAGAAGCCCCATTAGTAAATATTGTGCTGAAGAGAAGACAATGCAGCATGTGAGCATAGCATGACTGTTGGCCTAGCGAGGTCAGAAGCACCTGGCCTCGCCTCCATCAGCAGAGTCAGTACACAGTATTTGTTCGGTGTAATTGTAATTTGGCTTGGACAAATTTGTTCCTTTTGAAATTGCTATAGCAATTTTATTTGCAACCTTCAGTGATAAAAGTTAAAAACAATAACACTTATTTTGTAACCTTGGGGATAAAATAGAACAAAGCTTCTGCAAGCTGCTGGTGAGCTTAATCCTGCATCATGCCAACTCTAGAATTCTAAGAAGAAACCAGCCACCACAGATGGCATAGAAAGTGCCTCCCTTGTTGACACTCTGGCAGATTGAGTCAGTTTGAATAAGGAGCTGTATGGAAGTGATAAACCACCAAGACTATTTCCTCCATAATCATTTTGCAGGAGAGGAGTAGGAGCAGGCGAAGAAACAAATTTTCCATCTACTTTCTTCTGGTCAGCTATGTCTGACTTCTCCATTTGTCAATTGTTTTAATTTAGTGATATTACATATTTCTCAATGAAAAAGATGAGCCCATTTAATTACTTGACATTTGATTTGAGTGTCAAGTAAATTTGAAAAATATCTAATTTGGTGGTATCAAAAGCTGAAATGCTTTTTCATCAATCCATTCATAGAAAGTAGATATAAGTTGTCCTGTTTAATCTATATGTCTTGAGAAAATGAATAAAATTGCTAAAACTTCACAAAGATGTCAGAATATTGTCAACATGGAGAAAATAAAAACACAAGGTAGGGAGTCTAATCATCTTAGATTCAGTCAATATCTCTTGTTTTCTGAACTTTTAACTAGATGTAAAGAAATTTTCCCTTTAAGAAATACAATGGTCGAGGGCCTCCCACGTGGCGCAGCGGTTCAGCGCTGGGTTGCGAAGCTGCCCGCAGCTTCTGCAGCGCTGGTTTGATCCCCGGCCGCCAGGTGAGGGTCCCACATGGCATGTAGACCTCTCCTGCTGCGCCCGCTGCTCCCCTCAGCAGTGTATTTCGTTGGTCTGTCTGTTCTGTTCCCCGCTCTGGCTCTGGTGAATTCTCTCACCCTCCCGTGCTTCTGACTGTACCCAGTGCTTGTGTAAATAAATAAATAAATCTTAAAAAAAAAAATATCATTGTAATACTATAGCTTTAAAAAAAAAAAAGAAAGACAATGGTTAAAGTATGGTATGGAATGGAAGACCTAAAGAACACAGTGGAATTTAGACTTTCTTAATCTCTAGAAATGTGTGTCATTAATAATATAAGAATAAAATAATTGCAGCATAGCCAGAGACAAGATAAAAAAGAAGCTATAAAGAATGTTAATAGTATGTTTTTATGCATGAATGTGTAGATAAATTTACAAATAGTTATATGCTGTTAGAATCTCAGATTCTGTTTGGCATCTGCCATTAATGAAACCACATTTCTTCATGGATCTGTATCTAGTTATTACTTTTCCTGCTTATTTCTTAAAACCAAAAAAAATCTTCCAAACCTTTGAGGATGTAAAAATAATGGTATATTATTAAACTGAATGCTTCTAAGATACAAAAAAAACAACTTGAGAATAAACATGTGGAACCACTGGTTTGAATCAGTCATCTCAGTTTAGAAACCATTTCATTCAGGGAGAGAAGTTAATCAAATAATACGTATTTTTAATTTGTTATTTCTATGAAAACCTTCAACTAAGTTGTTTTCAAAACACTCCAGATTTTATATTACATAATTCCAAATACCAAAATAAATTTTATTATTTGTGGCATTATTAGTTCATTGTAATAATGAAATGGTCACTTGAAATAAATTTGAAAAAGTAAGTAACTGAAGTTCTATTCTGAATTATAAACTAAATGGGTGTACAAATGAGTCAGTTGAAGTATACTTTGAGTGGTAGAAAAATGCAAGAAAAGTACATTTCCTCTATTGGAAAAACCTAAGTGAAACTCTCATATCTTTCCCAAAGACTTCAACCTGTGTGCTATTGAAGCTCATGTCAAGTAGATATTTTTGAGATGAAATGTAAACACCCTTGACACCTGGAGAGTGGTTTTATGTGGATGAGAAGACACCACTTTTGTGTTTCCTTAATATAGAAAAAAAATTCCACTAAAATTGAAAATAATTTTGAATGTGTATTTTGGTTCTGGACCAACATTCTGGACTTGAAAGAAATTTTTGAGATAAGGTGGCTGAAGGTCATGTGTTTGGTCAATACCAATTCCTTTGACTCACACGTCCAGTTCTTCCACAGCAATTCCACTGGTTCCCACTGTCCCTTTCCTTTCTGCTTGGGTGTAACATTTCTAACAATATAATTGTACTAGATATGATAGAAATTTCGACAGGAAGGGCAGAATCTAATACAGAGTAAAATAAACAGTTGTAAAGGAATTCCTTGATAGTTTAGCCCCTAAACTATCATGTAGCTACAGGGCCTAAAACTACAGTTCCCAGATTTTGTGCTAAGGTACCAGACTACTGTGATGGATTTCAGAATATCCTGTGTGGATATTTAAAAATTGGCTATGATATGCTTTAAAGGATATTTTTAAATTTCAAGAAAACTATAGAGATAACTCTCAGATACCACATAAACTATCTTAGTTGCTTGGGCCTTACTCCTTATTAAAATGGTGCAAGTGAGCATTATTTCTTTGGTCCTAGGAGTGCCATGAAAATTATTGAGCCACTTACTGTACTTAAATTCAAGTTAAACTTCGGGCATAGTCTAGTATATGTAGTAATTTTAGAAATTATTATGACCTATTATGCTTGGAAATTATTGTTTGATCATACTCCAATCCACAGCCCACAGATTATTATAACAAAATTTATTTCCCACTTACAGTGCTATGTGCAATATTATATTGATAAGCAATTGGTTCATCTCTCTATACCATTTGATGCCTCTGTTTTTATGATTAGGTATTCAGTTGTTTGTTTAATTAACTCAATCTCAAATAGACAAGTAAAAATTGATAGTTACTTTATCTTCCTTCAAGTTACTGATCATCAGTTTCCTCATCTATAAAATGATCTAGTAGCACCTATTTCTACTGATTCGTCACAGAGATTAAGAAGTATTCCATAGATACAGTGCCTTGCACTGTGTTTGTCTATATTAGGTTATC